CTGCTGAAATCTTTCAAAAATACCCTTAGTCAGTTTGTTACTGCATTGTTTCCTAGCCAAAGGAGTTGTCCAGCTGGAGAGCTCTTTAGAGATTCAAGCTGATGGGACAAGATCATGCTGGAGGTAGGGAAGGGTACTACCCAGTTTGGAAATTGAGTATACAGGTCACCATGCGGGCCAGCCAGTCTGTGAGGGTATTCATCTGAAAGACTGGAATTAAGTCCTCCCCTTAGGAGGACTGTAATACAAATTAATTTTGGTTATAGGAATATTATTTAAAATAGTAGCACTGATTTTAAAAGTCCAAGGGATATTTTATGATACCTTCAACAACCTATATCTAAGACTTTTGTTTTTAAGTATGTACTTTTAAAAATGGATTTATTGTACCAAAATAATTGTTAAAATGATGCAGTTTTTAAAGAAAAAGTAAAGAAAAAGATAGATGCATCAGAATTACATCTGTATAATTTCAGGTAACATGCATTTTTATATGCACCTAAAAATATGGAGCTCTACACACACAAATGAGATATTTTTAATGCACTTATATGAGAGGAAAGATTTAAAAAGCTGCTGCATGAGAGCAGTTCTGCAAGTTCCTGCCCTAACAAGTCAGTATAAGCATTCTTTTAGCCCATGTACGTGCTAGGTATGCATGTAACCTGCTTTTTGCAGTGAGCACAGCAAATGTGCTTGTCGGCTTCTCTTCTGTCTCATCCCAGTCCTGTAAGCAATACATCACGCAGTCGGACCCTGGGACCTCAGTAAAGCCTGTTAGAGGATTACAACGTGTTTTTAAACGTATAAATCTTAAAAATGTAAAGCATTTATAAAATTGTTGCGTACCTTTCAACAGCGCTAAATTTGTATGAGGAAAAAATGTCGGGACAACTGAGTTTTACATTTTTTAAGTAGAGATTTTCGATTCTTACATATGATTAGAAATCTTTCTTTCAGTGCTGCTTCAAAATTCCTCTTCTTTGTGGGATACATGACCTTGAGAAGCCAGATAAATTGTTAATCTGAAATTGGATCTGGTATAACAAGATACAGTTCTTTTCAGATAGTTTGTAAACCCTGACTCTAAAAACTGCATACAAGAGTATCATCACAGTTTTAACAGTTATGGAGCAGTGTATTCAGCAG